TTTAAATGACTTTTATTGTGGGTATGTGTTGCCAAAGCTGGCTTTTGTGAAATGAAATTAATAAGAACTTAAAAAATAAAAGCTGGTACCTTAAAATATAAGAGAGTAAAACTGTGAAGCCTCACATGACTGGCCAAGAAGGAACTAGAAATACCAATTGCCAAACAATTGGGAACTGTAAATTTGATTCTCATGGTCCATTCTTTTCTTTACCCTTAAGATCACATTGTTTAGTGTTCACGTCCCATAGTGAGTGTCCAAATTGGCAATGTAGACAAGTGTCCTGTGTGGTTTGACATGAAATCTGCATATGTCTCTTTATTTGAAGCCAGTTTTACTCTCTTTATGTTCTTTAAGTCCAAGTAAGTCTGCCAGGAACATTGGTTGGTAGTATTATTCTGCCACCTTTAATTGACAAAATCTGAAGTTACTGCTAGTTTACCACCTTCAGGATCTTCTTGAACTGGTGACTGGTTAGGCTGAACTTAAGGAAAATTTGCGGACTTAAAAGTAACCTCTCAGTGTTCTAGAGAACATGTATTTATGTAACTGAACCTAGTAGGAGAGACGTTGGGAATTGTGTATGTGCAACTTTTCAACAAATGCAAAAAATACAGCACATGTATTGATGGGCTTCTATCAAGCAGTTTGAGTTGAAATGTGGTTTAAGAAAATAAATCATGATTGTTTAAAGCTGCTGGGAAGTTAGAATTAGGCCACGATGCTGGTCTCATTTTAACTATAATGGTATATTTGGCACTAAATTTCCATAGAAATCACTCATTTGGAACAACAAAGGGGAGGGAGAAAATTAATGGCTTATAGGATCAGTACCAAAGTTACTAAACAGTAATGAAATATTCTCATTCCTCACTCTCCCAGCCTCAGACAACACAGGTTACTCTTTTTAATCCTTGCTCAGAAAGCACCTGTAATTTAATTAACAGACTGCCTGTAGGTATAGTGCAATTACGAATGCTCTAATCATTGTACATACATCTCTCTTAATATCGCAGCATCCATACTGGCTTTGTAATCATTAATTTTTTGGCAGATTGAATGTGCTGTATTGATATGTATCTATGTAATTGTATTGTATGTCTTATAGCTAATTCACATTTTGAATAATGTTATTTTATTTACTTTTTTAAGAGAGGAGAATGTAAATTTGTCAGTTTATTTCTGACTAGGGATATTTTTTTTCCATTTAGAAAAGAAGAAAAAAAAAACCTTACTATCGTACAGAGCGGTACTAGCATCGTGCTGTATAAAATCATTTGCACATTCCTGACTAGAGGTATACTGATTATAAGACCCAAAGGTAATTTCATAGCAAAATACATAAAATCAGTCGGAGCTTTTATACAAACATGGAAACCAACTTTGTAGAACTTTTGCCATTTGATCTAGGATTGGAATATGAGCTTTTATACAATTCATATTCTTATTTGGCAAATGCACAGTTTAGTATTACCTCTCTGATGGCCTTTACTAGAAAGGCAGTTTTAGAAGCTATTGTGATCCACTAAGGAAATGTTTTAACAGCTAGAGACCACTGCTTGCCTGAAAGGGCAATCTTAAATTTGGTGCAGCAAAAAAAAAAAGTAAATGACAATATTTGAAGGCCTACAGTGTGTATAGAGTAAACCTCATCACCAGATCATAAGTGTTACAGTTTTAGGGAATCAAGATATTCTATTTAATAGAGCTATAGTAGATGTAGTCAATTAAACCTGATCTCAAAGCTCAAAGAAGCTGAGCAAAACAGGGAAAGATTGTTATATTTGTCTTTATGAAATTGGGATGGAATTTGCTATGCAGAATTGAGGTTTGTGGCTTCACTGTTCGTCCTAGGGTGCATGACAAGATCCCTTCTCTTGAGAAAGGAAGAAATTGATCACCCTAGCTACAGTGATGCCTAGAAACCTAATTGTATCCACACTAGTCAATCGAAGCTAAAGGATTTTCTTTTTTGTTTCTTTGTTTGGGATTTTATTGAAGGGGCTAGGGGTGGGAAGGGATTCTTTTCAGTTTTGTATAAAAACAAAGTTTACTCATGCTTTATATTATATCGTGATTGCAAGCGTTACAAGCGTGTGCCACTGGACTCCTATTGTTGATGCTCTAGGTAACGGAGGCCTGTGGCGAGTTTTATGGTGACTTGGGCATGTCTTATTCAAAAGCAAAACACAAAACACAGAAACCTTTCTTCAGCATACCAAGGCAAGCAGCCATTTCATGACTCACTTAACACATTGCAGTGTACCAGTTTACAGATGATTTTTCCCGTTTTGCGTGACACGGCAGTTCCAACCCCCAGAGAATTCCTTATTTGTAAATTGGAGGTTTCTACTATGCCTTACAGAGCTTAAATTCAGAAGTTTGTGCCTCATATCTGAAACAAAGGGAAATAACACACCCATTCAAAAGTAAATAAATCCCTTAGAAGTTTTTTTTTTTTTTTTTTTTTTTAACATTTCCATATAAAGAGCTCTGTTGAATGTCATGAATAGACTGGGAAAAAAAATCTTAGGAACCTGCATATGTTGTTTACTAGCAGATGACATCTACAAAAGGAATTTGAATGGAACACCTGAAACTTATATTGTTGGTTTTATTTTTTATTTTTTATGATAGATTAACTAGCAGGCCTAATATTTTAAAAAGGTAATTCAGCTAAAGGGCAAGTTACTTTTTGTACTTCAGACTATCTTGATTGTCAAAGTGTACGAACTGTAATTTTAAAATTTATACTGCCACATGATTGTAAATTTTAGTTGTCTTAAGTTAGGAATTGGTGAAAAGCTATTTATGCTGGATTTGGGTCAAAATGACTTTATTATTTGCAAAAAAAATGGGAAGAAAGGGCTGCATATAAGATACTGCAAGACTCAGATATTGGTTGGAAATTACCCTCTAATTACCTTCTGATTACCCTCGATTTCCCTTTGTTTTCAGTTTCTCAAAAAGAACGAATGAAATGAAATATAGAAGAATGTTAACCCATATAAAAATAAAGTGTACCCAAATATTGTAATGTATATTGCTGCTCTTCTTAAAATTAAATAAGGGTTTAAAACCACTTACTTAATTGGTAATTAACAAACATCTCAATTGATACAAACAAGGCGTGCTTGGTATACATTAATATTTTCTTCCAAAGATATATCTTTGGTTAGAAACACACAAAAAATTAAAACTAGTAATATTGTATGTTTCTCTATCTCTACATATTTCCAGCATATGTAGCGTTAATAGATCTGTGCTGGTAACTGTGTCTTTGGAATTTCATTTTGGTTCCATCAAATTAGGAAAAGAAATGGCTTAGTTGTATATGATTAGCTAGAGATTTTTGGAGCCAGACACCTGCTGTTTAGTAGATAACTTAGTACAGAGTCTAAACTTGTCATTTGTTTTTCTCACAGACTAACCATTTCCTGCTGTCTTCCCCACTACCACTGCCCTTTCAATAACACTCTTGCCTCTAGAATTATATGTTCAGAGTATGCGTATACACCCAGCACATAGTAGGTGCTCAAATATTAATTTCCTCTTTACCTTCCTTATCTACCACGTACCATCCATTTCCTCCCATATGATTCCAACCCAATAGTAAATGAGATTTACGTGTTATGGAAACACCTATTGCATAAAATTGGATCTTACTTGGATAAAGGAATTCTGACTTTTATATAAGACTTTGGTAGACAGAAAAAAATAACAGAGGAAGGTATTCTTCAGTAGAATATTTTTATGTTTAGGAAAGAAAGGTGGAAAATTACGATGTAACTTTGTCCAGGTTACTTTGACTGAAACACGTTTTTGGTGGATTTCTCTTCCTCAAAGAATTCTCTAAATGCAACTTCTTGCTGGACTCCTCACCCATCATCATGTTGGAAATCCTTACTAGACCTATGTATTTAGGGAGTTTTGTCAAAACATTTTTAACTTGCAGTATTTAAAAGAATCATATTTACTGTTCTTAAAATGTCATTCAAATGCATGTATTGTCTATTGTTTGGGGATGGGAACTAGTTTTGCAAAAAACACCTAATGTTGTATAATAATGCCCCAATGATCTTGCTGGTTAAAAATACAGTATTTTTGGCCATAATTTTGTACTACAGTATTCTTCATTCTTGAGTTTTGCTTCCCTCGAAGTTGCCTAAGCCCCCCTCAGAATGTTTTTTATCATAAGGAGTATTGAAATACATCTTTTCTTCCTAAAACACTTTATAGTGCACATGCATTTTCCAAAGTGAACAGGTTTAATGGTTTCTAAAAACACACACACCAAAAACCTTTTCCTGTCTGTGTATGATGAGAAATAACAGACTCCTTTAGTGGAAGTATACATATTGGTAGTATTTATCAAATTCGCTTTTTTTAAAAAACTTGCCCTAATTAAAAAAAACGCTTATCCTAATTTAGATTATGGTTAACTATTTGAAAATGTAAATAGCTGCCCAATAAAGAGAGAAAAGAGCCGCCTACCTTCAACCTAAGGCAATCTTGTAATCATTGAAAAGAACTCACATTGTCTCCCCCAGCCCCTTGCCAGGCAGCACACAGGTGGATGCCTAGCTTAGGACTTTTCCCCATTTGGGCGCTGGTAGTGAGTGGGGTCAACTCCACATGGGAAAAAAGACCTGGCACAGGGGTCCTTTATGTCTGTGACCTTTATAAACATACATTTAGGCTTTTGAGGTCAGCTAAAAAATAGCGTTTCTTCTAAGAATGTTATGAAGTTGGGGTGATCATGGCAAGTGTCTTTGTAGGAAATGG